GAAAACCACTTGGTTGGTTCGGATGCCAAAAACCAAACCCGACAACCGAAAGCCGAACGCTGGTTTCTGAAAGCCGAACACTGGATGGCTTGGTTTTTGGTTTGGGCGAACACCGAGCATTTTTTAATGACTTAAACAAGTTTAAAACCATTTTTATGATGTATGAAATGCAATGAGAGTTTTTAGCCTAAAGAGCCAAAGTGTAAAGATTGGGTCGGTCCTGATCACAATAAAGACCGACTCAATACTATGATTAAGGTCTTCGTTCTTGGTCTTCGTTTAGCTCTTGCTCTTATCTTCATTCTTCGCCTTGTATATTCAATGTTTGACTTGATCACGGCGGTTTGGCATTATCAAAACCTGTTACAAAAAACGAACACGGCTTTAGTACTAAAACGTGACAAGCCTGTGTTTCAACAATTTCCCCCTTTTTGATAATGGCAAACGAGACGAGGTTATGCATAGGAGGATTATTTTGAAAAGGATGTTCCCCCTTAATAGATGCTATTTTACAAAAAAAAAATTCCCCTTAGTTTATGCATAACCTTAATATCTTCCCCCTTTTGACATTAACAAAAAGAATTAAAAGTAAACTTTAGAATTGTAAAAGTAAACTTTTATTCATGAAAAAGGGAAATGCGGAATACAACGGAATGGAAGAAAAAAATAAGAAATACAATCATAGGAAGAAGAGAAAAGAGAAGTCTAAGCATCGGTGTCCTCGACGTCCATGGGATCGCCGTCGACCGCATCTTCAATGTCGGCCTCGTCGGGGGAGGAGGATGGTGCATAGGAGTTATCCTCCTCGTCCTCGCCTTCATAGTTTTGGCCGAGGAAGGTGCTGTCAAAGGGCGGCGGGACGTAGTTGACGCCGCGAAAGAACGCCGTCATGTCGTGGTGTTGGCGTTGCAGCGTCCAGTCCATCCGCTCGATTGACTGCCCCATGCCGTCTACTGTGAGGGTTAGCCGATTCAGAGTATCGGCTATGGACTCTAAGGACGCCTTGGCGGGAGCGGAGGCAGGGGCAGGGGCACGGGCACGACTCGGTCCAGCGCCGGTTCCGTCACCGGACTTCTTCCGGAAGGTGCTGTCTTGGATGATCCAAATCTTTGTCATCTTCGTATCCGGGCCGGCGATGGAGATGTTGGCGGAGATGATGAGGTCCATGACGAGGAAGGCGTAAGGCAAGCTCCGCTCAGTGGCGATGGAGGCGCAATCCGCCATGTGAATCATGACGTATTTTGCCCAATTGATCGAGGCGCCGTGGGTGATAGCATGAACCGCCTTGAGATCCTCGTTGAAGAGACATGTGTGGCTACCGTCTCGGGGGCGAAGAATCCGGGTGAGGATGTAGAGAAGAAGACGCTTCTCCGGCGGGGCTGAGTGGATTGTTGGTGCGCCGCTGTGACGGATGAGGTTGGTGATCCCAAGCTCTCGGATGACCACAGCCTCGTTGTTGAGGATCCAATCATCGCCGCCATATGTTGTTATGTCGTCACCGCGGGTGGGCAGCCCTGCGACCCGAGCGAAGGTAGCCAGATCAATCTCTATGTCATAGAGATTGATGCTACTGCGAATGGTGTCCCCGTCCCGGCGGAGATTGGAGTAGAAGGCTCGCACAAAGGCGGGATTGAAGCTCGAGCGGCTCCTAGAGACGAACGACCACAGACCCGATGCTTGAAGCTGGTTGTCGAGGTCGTGGTACCCCTTTTGTTGAGGGTACAACTCGGGCAGCACCCTAGGCGGAGAAATGGGGCGCTTGGCAAAGTGCGTGAGGAACCGGTTGAGTTCCTCATCCGACCCGAACTCCAAGAAGGATCCGTCCAGGTATGGAAAGGGTTGAGGCGCAGAGCTCGTAGCCTCGGCGGCGGCCTTCTTCTTCGAAGCTTTTGTCTTCTTTCCTCCGGCCATGATTGAAGCAAGAATTTGAAGAATTGTGAAGAATAAAAGATGAACTATGAAATATGGAGGAGAATTGTGAGGATGAATGACCAAATATGGTGAATATATATAGGGAAGGAGTGGAAAAACCGAGAAGAATTCAAAAAAATATGACTGTTGGGCATTTAATCTATTGCCCAACGGTTATTTTTTTTGAATTTTGGCACGCTCCCATCGATGGTATGAACTAACCATCGATGGGATGATCACCACTGGAAAGCTCGGAAGAGATTAAGGCTGCCTTCCCAGCGATGTGTGCATTTTCCCATCGATGGGAAGGTGGCTTCTGGAAAAGAGATCATGGCCTTCCCAGCGATGTTAATACCATCCCATCGCTGGGTTGGTAGTTTTGAAAATCCGTTAAAGATTTTTTTTTTTTAAAAAAATAGTGTCAAACACCCAGCGATGGGAGGAACTTCCCATCGATGGGTTTGGAGGTTCTGAAACAAAAACAGGAACTCACCCAGCGATGGGATAAACTACCCATCGATGGGTAAAGGCGTTCTGGAAATCTGTTAAAAAGTTTAAGTCAAACACCCAGCGATGGGAGAAAGTTCCCATCGATGGGAGAAAGTTCCCATCGATGGGTTGGGAGGTTCTAAAAAAATTTTTGATAAAAGTCCTTCACCCAGCGATGGGACAAAGTACCCATCGATGGGTTAGGGTGTTTTGGAAATCCGTTAAGTATTTTTTTAAAAAATTAGAGTCAATTACCCATCGATGGGAAGAAGAAACCATCGATGGGAAGAGGGGTTCTGGAAAAAGAGAAACTTCCCTCCCAGCGATGGTATGGCCTACCCATCGCTGGTTCCCCCTGATTTCCAGAGTTCTTCACTTCGAACCATCCCTGCAAAAAAGAGTTAGAAAACCCTCCGACGCTCAAGTTAGTAAACGTTCTATTAACAATAAAAGAATGATAAAATGCACAAATTAGATCATCCTGGAGTCAAGGATTCCGAGTTCGCTACGAATGCGGAAGAACGACTCTTTCTCTAAAGGTTTTGTGAAAATGTCGGCCAATTGGTTGTGTGTTTCAACAAACTCAATTTCGACATCACCTTTGAGAACATGATCTCTAATGAAATGGTGCCTAATGTCAATGTGTTTCGTCCTTGAATGAAGAACGGGGTTCTTCGTCAAGCTAATGGCGCTAGTATTGTCACAACGAAGAGGAACGTGACTGATACTAAGGCCATAGTCCACGAGTTGTTGCTTCATCCAAAGGATTTGAGCACAACAACTACCGGCGGCAACGTATTCCGCTTCGGTTGTGGATAACGCAACACTGACTTATTTCTTGATAAACCATGAAACTAAAGAACTACCAAGTAAGTGGCAAGTCCCACTTGTACTTTTGCGGTCCAATTTGCAACCGGCAAAGTCCGAGTTGGAGTAGCCAACGAGAAGACACGAAGAACCTTTAGGATACCACAGTCCAACGTTAACCGTGCCTACAAGGTATTTCATGATCCATTTCACCGTAGTTAAGTGCGATTCCTTCGGGCATGATTGATACCTTGCGCAAAGGCATACGCTAAACATGATATCTGGCCTACTAGCAGTAAGATAAAGAAGGGATCCGATCATACCTCGATACTTTTTGACCTCAACTTCCTTACCTTTTTCGTCTTTGGCCAGATGGTCGGACGTGCTCATCGGGGTTGCCATGGCTTTGGCGTTGTCCATTTCGAAGCGTTTTAGGAGCTCCTTGAAGTATTTGGTTTGGCAAATGAACGTGCCATCTTTGATTTGCTTGACTTGGAGTCCCAAAAAGAATGTAAGCTCACCCATCATGGACATCTCAAATTCACTTGTCATTAACGTTGAGAATTCCGTGCACAAAGACTCGTTAGTAGCACCGAATATAATGTCGTCTACATAAACTTGAACCAAAAGGATGTTATTGTTTTTACTCTTGATAAAAAGTGTAGTGTCAACCTTTCCTCTTTGGAAACCACT